TACTAACTAACAATAAGTCATACTCAAAAAAACATGAACTTTTTTCATGAAATCACTGACCGCTCCATTGGTGATCGATATGAGCCGATTCTGGTAATCATAATCGAACTTCATATCTGTTGATGGACCACGTGCTCCAACAAGCCTTCCATAACCATCCATTTCAAACGATACATCGCCTGAAGGTGAACTTTCACTCGAAATCTAGGTCGAGGAAACAAAAGTGAGTGAGCGAGGCTACGACTGAGACTTGAGCGGTTAGATATTTGACAGTGAGTCATGAAATATAACTGAATATCGCGACGCCCTAACCCACATAAACCATAGCCACGCCTTGTGCCCGTCGGAAGCGGAAGTCCACGAAAAGAGCATGAATTTAGTCTGGACGCAACGATAAAAAGTCCGAAACCCTGATTCCAAGCTAGTTAACTCAGCGTGTTCATGAACGTGACTTATTCAGGCTTTGAGGTAAGTTAGCCATTTTGGGCAATCACGGAATAATTGCACTCACCAGCTTTGTCAAGAACTAAGAATACAGAAAAACTAAGTACTTTTATGCCCACAAGATTAAAAANAAAAATGTACACGCCTCACCCCTCTTTATGGTCCATCCATTACCATCGACGACATACTCTACGCGGCCGACTTTCTTCGGAACACCTCCAGCATGCCACTCATATGTAACGTCATTCATCAACATCAATCGACTGTCATTATTGTACTTGAATAGCCATCTGAGGAAAAATCTTTTGAAAGACCAAGTAAAAAACTAATATTTTAAATAAAGGGGTTTTTGTCTACCCACCTCTCTTTCCCATTCATCTCATGGCCTGCTAGCCGCCCTTGCGCATCGAAACTGCGAGTTTCTTTGAAGTCACCAGTGATCGTACGCCAAGCGTTCGCAATTGATCGTCCGACAGAGTCTCGTATTATCATCAGCGATATTCGCACATCACCGATGACAATCTTCAGAGAAACAGGCTGTCTGTAGATGTCAAGCGATGTTTCGTGCATCATCTGAAAACTGCGGAATCACAGGTAAGAATAACATAATCAACTGATAGACTTGCTGATTTTAGCCCACCTTGAATCCCTGGATTCTAATCATCGTCGACTCCCTCAAGATTTGATAACCAGCATATGCGGACATGAAGGCAGTTCGTTCATCGTATGTAAGCTGAAATTGGGTAGTTTGAAGACTCTTCATTCCAACAGGACCTTTAGTTCCATAAAGGAAGATACCCCTTCATCGCTGGGATTACAAACAATCAATTTTTCTTCGCTAGCCCTATGCGCTCTTCGATACACTGTCGCGGACGGTCGTGCGCAACGCCTGAGTTTGGAACATTCCCGGAGATCAGGTGTTCCAAATGATGTTAATAATGTATACCTTAGAGGTCTGACCCCAACTAGTAAGATGATGAGAGACGGGCAGTAGGAACGGTTTTGGGTAATCGATCTGCCGCACGCGGTTGTCGCGAACCATTTGTCTCATTATAGCAGTTCTAGCGTTCTTCAACAGACATATCGCTATGCGATTATTACTTATGGCATGATTCTACTGCTAGTTCTTTTGTTCGTTATTTCTTACTCGCTGCTGCATTCCGGTACATTCCTTCGCGCGGGCGTCTTTTCGCCGCGAAGCGGCAATTTCGTTCCTACTGCACCACACCCGTTAGATGATGGGAGATGGGAGAACATTACCATTTACATCATGTGGAATGGAAATTCATTGACTATTCATTTGATATTGCTTCATTTTCAGAAGTGAATTGAAACCGGTACTGGAATAGAAACCAACCAGCAATGGTTCCACAGCTGTGCCAGAGATAACAGCCTGAATAGAAGTCGGTCGCAAAAGTTCGTCATGTTCCACGGCAAAAGACGAATCAAGCCATCTGAAACTGAAAAGCAACACCATGGAAAACATTTTACTGTAATCTAGAGGTAGCGTGCAAATCTTAGGCATCCTATTATTAATTCAAATTTGTAAAATACATAAATGGGAGCCTTTAGTGAGTTTGTGAGAATGTATTATACATCACGAATTTTCCACTTACCCATTCCTTGCCTGCCTTCGTTCACTCAATGTCACTAGCAACGGACCCTGGTACGTCAGATTCACTTCCAGATGAGCTGAGTTCACTGTTGCGAGTTCATTAGCCTTGTAGGTGAATATGGTAACGTCCGAGTCACACATCTCCTGAAAACATCATTATCGATCGGAAACTGAATTTTGCAAAAAACAGGGTCGACTTTACTTTCACTACTCGATCGTATTTGTCGCGCTGTAGAAGAACATGATGGAGTTCGTCTGCGGTAGTCCACTCTAGCAGTCGTCCGTCGAAGTCTTCTGCCGCAACAAAAGGCTTTTTCGTGAAGGGAATTCTGAAGGGTAAAGTGATTCGATGGATACAAATCTAATTACTGATCTATCGCTCGCTCAATACCACTGAATAACTAGAGGCTTTCTGTTATGAAGAATTTCATTGTAGAGACTCACATCATTCGAACTGATTTATTGATTTAAAGGCACGGCTCACGATAAAAATGGTTTCGGAGATTTGCACATGGTATGAATTCCGGGCCCTCTCTGATACCATACGCGCTGGAATGAAGTCGAAAAATGTTCTGGATAGGGCACAATAAGGGGCCGGAGAGTGAAGCACGGTCAGCCTCCGCCCCTCGCNAGGCTGACAACGAAATCTAATTGCCGTTCACCACTTTCGCATAGGAGCAACATTAGTGAAAAATCAATAAGCTAATCGACCGCCTCCTACTGGTAATATAATAGTATTCGGCTGTATTCCTACTATTCGACTAATATTCTGCTTCATTCTGTTCTAAATAATTATTCTCAGCCGTCCCTTTTCGTCCCGCCGAATTGATTCTGCACAATAATCTAGCTTAATATCAGCAGTAGAATAAATAATAATAACGAAGAGGCCAAAATCAGCTCTTTGGGCGTGTCGTGTGCAATTGCAGACATTACGTCGCATTCGTCTACTCGCCCGAAAATTACCTTAACCACCGTTTTTTCGCCGTGTAACTCGTCCAACCCCCTTTTCTTTTCTTTTTTAAAGCTTTGTAGTTCTTTTTATTCATCGTTTTTCGCGTTTTCTGCTTTTCCATTGCACTACTGTAGATTTTACCGAACATTTTTCGTCAAAAGGACACCCCAAAATTATCGTGAACTGTGCCTTTAATTTCGATTACTATGAATTGCGTTAGTTCAAACATACCGCCTCTTCAGGACTCGTCCACTTCCGAAGGGTGTCGCTGCAAAATGATGAGATTCGCCAGATGGCGTTGCAACTTCTCGAAGGCGCCCGTGCATATCATACTGGAAGTAAATCACGATCGGTGCTAATGCAGTTGGATGGAGCCTCGTTCTCGCGCCTTTGACAGCCTACTGACCCAATACTTCTCCATTCCAATTTTCTGCTTTATGTAACTTCCACTCACTCCTATGCTACCCCACTCTATTTGGTTAAACTAAAACTCCATCAGAATAGTTTCTTAGCGCCCCTGCAGGCTAACAAAGTTGACGTCCTGTCCTTCTTTGGCTCTAGCAGTTGAGTTAGAGACCTATAGCACAGCGGAATCTCCCCCAACTCTTTCTCCCCAACTATCTGTTCGCCTTGATAGTTACAGAATATGCATAAACAACGAAATGAGCAGTTGTAGCATAGATACGACGCCACCAGGCGGTTAGGCCTAGTTCCTAGTAATCAGTGCAACTGTAATTCTGAGACGCGAGCGGTCGTTCGCGCAAGCCAAATCCTGAACTTCAGTACGAACAGAGTGTAAAGTTTACCTTCAGAGTATACCTAGAACCACCAGGCAATTCGATCATGGACGGATAGCGAAGTTCTTTGTGGTAGGCAAATTTTGTCGATACAAAATCGCTAGTCGTTCGTTCTACAACACGGTTCTGTCGATCGTACGTCACCTGTACGCTCCGATTTCCCCAAATCAGTTCATTCCTATAAACACATCTCCTAACCGTATCCACTAGCAAAATCCTTAGATTAACCCTTTGACGACAATGGCACCCACCGGTGAGTGCCACTATGTGGGGCACACGGAACATTGGCACCCAATTTTGGGAGCCACCATATCTCTTGTTTCTTACCAATTGCTGAATTCAGTAAGCCAGTGAAAGAATTTTCTCCAGAGACAGTGCCAACCACCGGTGGGTGCCAGCCGCGTGCGAAAGGAGGGGACCGAGGTTCCATGGGCTCGTCACGTCGAAATCCGTATTGTCGCCAAAAGGTTAACAAGAGAGATGCTGACCTTCTGCCTAGAGAATCGTAGTTAATAGTGAGGTTCGCCAATCGGTACACCGCATCAGTATCGACCGGTGCTTCTTGAACAATCTGCCGCAATTCTCCACTATCCATATACATTAAGTGAAGGGTTTCATCTTCTGATTTTGCACTTATGACGTCACTCTTCGTAACTCGATCGAATGTTACGGTAAATACGTTTACGCCGTTGACCTGAATCATGAAGCTAAATTTAGGTAATTCAAAGGGAACTGAAGAAAATGTGTGTTAGTCGAGCAGTTAAAGAAGACTCGGGTCACATGAGTTATGGGTTACTTATAAGGGAATTCAAACAATCAACAAAATTCAGATTCGCTCAGACAAACTAACTGTTAAGCACAAGGTAGAGACAGTGGTTGTCCAGCCGCATAGACAGTGTAAGGTAGGGTATGACTCAAAGGAACCGGCTTTCTCATTATTATCCACCAGAACTTTCACCGTCTACCGAGATTCCAACGGCGTCGACCGCGTAGGGGGCGGAGGAGTGGGGTAGGGAAAGTAAGAGGCAGTGAAAAAAGTGACAGCCATGGAAGAGCTACGGTTCGGAAGCTTTGTGGCATTTCCCAGATCGCGATCCCTTTGCTATTCTCCCAAAAAGCCATCAACCTGAAGCTCACACCAAAGAAAGCTGATTGTGAGTCAAACATCAGCAGCCTCCAACAGGTTATCAATTTCTAGTTATTTGCCCGATTCAGAGGGCAGCATGAGGTGACAGTGATCAGTGGTAGCGTTCAGTTCGTTAAGGCAGGTCAGTTATCATCACACAGTCAATCAGAACCAATCTTTCTAGCACATATGCTGAACTAGAACGATTAAGTGGGTTAGGAACTTTCAGTACATCGCTATCTGCTCGACTAACCCTTGGACGCGCTCCAACCTCAGCAACTCGGCGTTCTGCTCCACCACGTTTCACAAACGGGCGCCAGTCAAACCGTGACGTGAGCGAACGACGCGATGGATTCTGAATGGATCAACATTAACCTTCTTTTGAGAACTACGTTTTTTTTAAGTAACAAGGAATAGGTTTTGAATGAGTACTTCCTGTAACGTATCAATGGTCGTTTTTATCTTCAGCACACTACTTTCACCGTGTACTGGATGTGTATTTGCATCCAAGAGCGACGTCATACCACCATGTAATACAGAAAATCCATCGTCCATGTAAATGACTCGCGATGAGGACGAGTCTGCAATTTCTGATTTTTTAGGAGAAACACAAACTTAATAGCGGTAAAATTATGTGGTGCCTGAGCAAAAATCACCAACCATCAAAAGCCACTTCAGATGTCCTGGATGTGAAGGTGGCGTAGGGATCGCCATTTCGGAGCACATTCGTCGTTACCCAACCTCCAAGCACCTAAATACAGCTGGCATATCTATAAACCTTCCTAATACAGTGAATACACTGATTTAGAAACCGCATATGTAATGCATCAAGAGCGCAAAGGGACTAAAGTGACGATCCATTTCAGTGACGGTGGACTCCCAAAAATACCGTAACCAGGCTCCAGAGCTCCTTTAGCGTGTACTGTCCTGTTGCCACATAAATAGGGAATAATGCGAAGTTGGTTGAAACGTCTAGGTTATCGGTCTTTACCTATCAATGGAATTGTTTGCACTCCCGCAAAAATATGTCGACATTACGTCCATGTGGAGGGCTGTGAGGACCTTATTACCGTTTGGGAAGCTCGTCAGACAAATGCAACATAATGCCTCCATACTGCTGAGCACCCTTTCACTCAAATTCATCCCACTTTTCTGCCCCTACACGGCCATATCCATCTCCTTTTAACGAATTCACAAAGTCAGGAAACAAAGAGACTTCACAAAGAAATGCTATGCCTTGATTTTTTAACCAAAAAATGATAAAAAATTTTAAATGCCAAAATTTGATTCAACGGAGAGTCCAAACCTTTTCGTCGACAATACGGAACTCCTTCCCGTCATTTCGCATCGCTGTCACACGCCCTTTGTCATTGTACTCGTATACGGTAACTGCACCACCTTGTGATTGAGAAATCAGTAGACCTCCAGGCAAATAATTCAGACGAATCGGTTCTGCAATAGTCGTTCAGCAAATAGAGACCGCCAGCCATCTGTGGGTGACACCCACCTCCTATTCCTGTCTGTACGCTTTCGATGACACCGTCGTAGATGCTGGTCACCAACACCGTTCGTTGACCAGATGGTGTTTCGATTGTACAGTGAGACTCGTTGGCGCGAATGAATCGTAGCTGATACCCACCGGCTCCATGAATGGATGAGAGGCGGCCAAGGCTAAAGTTACGAATATTAATAGAAATTCCTTGCCTTATACTTTAGCATATCAATAGATCTCTCAACAACTGAAGGCGATGTCGAGGAAAAGCTTGATTTCTGTTCTTGAAAGCAAAAGTCAAGGTACTATTAGGTACCTAAAAATTTCTTTCACGTGTTTCTGCGAATAAACTTTGGGCTGATTATATGAAGTCACATATACACTCCTAGAAAGCGTACCGACTAGAAAGTTACGAGTAACAGTATTACATGAATGAACTCCGTCGCTTGGATTGAAACGGTTGATCCTCACCTTTGGATAAGGCAACACCTACTAATTCCCTCGCACTCATTTTGTGTTGTTTTTCACACTCTCTCCTTTGATCTTTACAGGTAACGGGCCTTAGTCCCTTGCTGAGGACAGAACAGATAATCGCAACTCCTCAAT